TACTGCTTGACTGTAAGATCTTAGAGGGTGATGCCAGGTTCCTCTGTTGGCAGGGAATCCCGGAGGCTCAGCATGGACCCCCGCTACCCTTCCCCCGGGCCCTCCCCCTCCCCCACAGGCGAGCCGCCTGAGAAGGACTCCGACTCTCCCCACCAGGAAGACCAGCACTGCACTATCCCATTTAACAGATGAGAAAAGTGAGGCTCAGAGAGGTGGTTACACTGCCAGAGGCTGCCAACAGTCACTGACGTAGCAAGTATTTAGAGAGCACAGATGGCGTGCAAGCCCTGGGCGGACCCCTGAGCTACAGCGGCCCCAGACGATCAGTTGCTGCCCTGCGAAGCTCAAGCCCGACTGGGACACGGACAGGCGACACCCAAACAGGTGACTGCTTAGCCGCACCTGTGACGGGTGCAAAAGGGGAGCATGAGGCGTGGACCTGGGAGGCCTCCCAAAGGACACGGCGACCAAGCTGGGCCCCTTGCCCAGGGTCACAGGTCAGCAGGGGCAGCCTCTCCTTCCTGCCTCTCCCCCTCCATTTCTGGGGCAGGGGTAGGGGTGGCTGCACGTGTCACATTTAGGAGTGGCCTTGTTGATCAGCGTGACCTTGCGTGGCCTGGGCCACTGTGGTCCCTGGTGAGCATGGAGAGGGGCCAGGACTCAGCTGGGGCCAGCGGCCACATCAGCTGAAAGGCCACCTCGAGGCACGTGTCCATCTGCGCCCTGACCTCAGTCCCACACAGTGACTCCCCTGCCCTCAGCCAGGGTTCAGAGGACAGTGGAGCCCACCCTGCCCCCAGGAGAAAGCCGAACTCCTAGTGCACCCACAAAAGCCACCCAACCCAGGCTCTGCCTGCCTCCCCGCCTGTCCCAGGCCCCCCGAGCATCACACACCAGCAGAATGGAGCCACCTTGGTCCCTGAACAAGCCCCACCACCTCCCTGCAGACCCGGCACGAGTCCCTTTGCCTGGAACACTGCTCTCACCTCCTTCCCCAGGGTTCCAACCTCCCAGTCTGGCAGGCTCTCTAGCCTCCCCAGACTGGGTGAGGAGCTCTCCTCTGGGCTCCCCACACCCCGCAGCCCTGCAGCCCTCATGAAAGTCAGCTGATTTGTCCAGCTCCCTGCCAGGCCTGTGGCTGACACCCCACGGTTGACTGCGTGAACCAACAAGGGACACATGTGACAGTCAGTTCCACAGACACATACATGCAGCTGGCCTTGAACGAATCTCCTACCCTCTCTGAGGCTGCCCTGCCAGACTCCAGACATTGGAGGGGTGCTGGAGCAGTGCTGGTCGGGGCAGTGGTATATAAACTGTGAAGTGCCCCTTAGGCAGGCAGGGCCGCTGCACCCCATCCTCGCCCAGTCCAGGTTCCCTGGGAAGCAGGCTCTGGTTGGCATGTCCAGCCGCAGGCGCCCTGTCCCACAGCGTCAGCTCTCGATGCCCAGCAGTTTGGACATGGGGCCTAATGAGGATGGATGGTATTGGGGTCCAGAAAGGCAGCAGCCAGCTCCCTCCCAAACGACAATTGAGTTTCTGAGAGATTCCGTGTGGCAGGGAGGTGATCCTGACGGACGCCCAGAGGTATCTGGGAAAAGATTGCTTTTGACGGTAGCCCAAATGGATATTAACGTCTATTGGCCTCGAAAGCACTTCTCAGCTGAGAATGGCCTTTCTTCCAGGGCCCCGGCCCAGATGTCTGAGCTGAGCAGGCTGGCGTACCTCAGCGACTCCCCTCTAATCGCCCCCGAAGCCCGGGCCCTAGGAATTACCTGCCTCCCAGCCCCAATCCTGATTGACTTCCCAGGAGGCTGGCTTCAAGTCCGCCGGAGTGGAAGACGCATGGCCCTGGCCTGAGTCCTGGTCCTTCATTAAGCCTGTCCTAAGCCTTAACTCTGATTTCTGGGCTCTGGCTGGCGCTCTGGTGCTGTTCCGCCCGCCAAGGGCTTCCCAGGGATGAAGGCCATAACTCAGATGTTCTGAGTTAGGCCAACAAAAGAGCTTTCAGGCCCAGCTGTGGGGCCAGTACATTTAAATACTCCCCCCTGGAGCTTGAAGAGAGGTTGAGAGGCACTTCTGTCTTGGGGTCTCGGGGGATTCTCAGCTGCTCTTGCACGGGCTCCTAACCGCAGGCTCTGCCTGCCTCGCTCGGGCCTCCCTGGCAGGTCTCCTGCTCGGGCTGGCTGCTCCTGCCGCCCTCACCCTCGCATCCATTGAGAAGCTTCCTTCCCCCTCCTCTCTGCCTGGACATCAGGACGCCAGAAACAGTCAACACCAAGGGCATGGTTCACTGTCATCAATAGTTACTGGACAGCTGCCAGACCTGCGCTAAATGTTCCGCAAGCATTTGGAATGGACGTAGGTCAAGCCACGAAGTGCTCAAGTGGGCATGCGTCTTTGGGCTGTCCTCCATCTTCTGAGGTTTGGTGGGAGGCAGGGATGATTCCCACCATAGCGGCTAAAGACTCCGGCTGCTGGCTTTCTCAGCCTCCCTGCAGGGAGTGGTAGGCGTGTGACCCCGGCCTCACCAATCCGAAGCTCCCGCTGACTTTGACTCAAGCAGGGGAAGCAAAGAAGCAGGGGCACCAGGAATCTCTTCCAAAGAAACAATGAGATCTTGGTGGGGGTGTCCGTGCCGAGGTGGAGCCGTGTCCGCTGCTCAGAAGCAGCAGCCCTGGGGCAGTGGGGTTCTCACCAGGCAACCCCTGGCTGGGTCTGGGGGCTCTGTTCCTGGCTGCATGGCCCTGAGCTGGTTTTCTTTGACCTCCCAGCCTCCCTCCAGGACATTCCTCTTCTGCTTCAATCAGCCACTTTCTGTTCCCTGCAGTTAGGACCTCTAAGTGATGCAGGTGGGTATCTGCATTTCACAGCCGAGGAAACTGAGGCTCAGAGAACAAGTAACTTGGTCTAAATCACACAGCAGGACTGAGAGCCATGCTCAGGTCTGTCTGTGGATGTTGCACCTGCCAGGCTTTCTGCCTCTCTGGCAGAGGGGTTTAATGACAGGCCTGTCCACTGAGTGAGTGAACTGCCTCCTCCCCTTCTCTCTCCCTGCTCTGCCCAAGGACATGCACAGCGAGGTTATGGTTCCTGAAGCACAGTTCTTACCCCATCTTTCCTTTCTCCGGCACCCTCAGTAGCTCCCTAGTGGCTGCCGCAAACCCCGCAGCCCGGGACAGCGACAACACTAGCCTCACCTCAGCCTGCTGACTGTTCCCTGCCTGTGCCGCGGGCTTCCTGACTCCTGGCCCTTGTTAGGTTGCTCGCTCTTCCCGGAACCCCTTCTCTTTCTTGCCCACTCAGAAACCTCTCCTACCTTTTAAGGCTCATCAGAAATGCCCCCTTCTCCACGAAGCTTGTAAGAGCCTCCCCCCAACCCCTGCTCACCGTGACTCCTTCCACCCCAAATCCCCACAGACTCTAAGTTCCTTGGGGAGACTAGGACAGGGGCTTCTCCAGCTCTCCAATTCCCTGGTACCCAGTACACAGTAGGTGCTCAGAACTGCCCATTTGAAATTAAACGTGCAGTTGAGAGTCAGTTTTACTGGTCCTGCTTTCCTTTGTCACTGGGTGTCCCAACCACAGCCTGGGAGGCTGAGCCACTTTCAGGGTGGAGCACAGATGTTACCCAGAGACAGTGGTGCAGGTTGTTCACTGCTCAAGGGCACCTGGCCAAGGGGCAAGGCTCACATCTGTTCTCCTTGCCAAGCCCAGCACCCCAGTGTGCCCAAAGGAAAGGACATGCATTTTTAAAATTTGCACAGTCACCCAGTGGCCTCAGCCAGAGCCTCAGGAAAGGGAGGAAGTTCACCAAGTTATGGAGGAGGGGTAGCAAGCTCACCTCCCACCTTCAGGATCCCCAGCTCTAGAACTGAGGTCAGCAAACCATGGCCCCTAGACAACTCCTGCCCACTGCCTGTTTTTATGTGGCATGTGAACCAGGAATGTTTGGACATTTTTAAATGGTTAAAAAGAAAATCAAAAGAAGTACATGTCTAAACATCCTTTGAATAACATTTGAAGAATACATGAAAATTTGATGAAATTTAAATTTCAGCATCCACAACTAAAGTGTTGTTGGGGTGCAGCCTCGCCCAGGTGTTTCTGTTTTGCCTGTGACTGCGTCCCCCCACGAAGGCCAGAGTTGGGTAGTTGCAGCAGAGACCATGGGAGACCCGTGTGCCCACCGTGCTCTAGAAGGGGCCTCCCAGCCGGCAGACCTGGAGACCCCCAGGTCTTCAAGCCGGGGCCTCTGCCCTGCCCCTCCACCCTCTTCTCCGGCTCCGGGGAGGTCTCAGGCCACCCATTGCTGCCCCACCTCTGCCTCTCCATTGCTCCACTTCCCACCCAGGCAGGAACCAGAAAGGACAAGGAAATCATGATGGCTTCTTGCCAGGAAGCCACGGGGGTCTCTGCTCGCAGCAGCTGTGCACCCCCTTTTATCTCCTGCACACACACCATCCACTGAATAACTCGAAAAGTCAGCGTCCACACGGGTTGGCCCTAGAACTCACATTAGCAATGGTTCATTCCAGGACACAACCCCACACCCTCTGGAACCACGGCTCCGGGTTGGGGGCGGCTCCATGGTCAGACGTGTTAGACCAGGTCTAACATCTGCTCCCCCATGGGCCCCCCAAGGGTTAGCACATGACCTCCACTTGCCCTGTGCAGGCTTCTGTGAGCGTGGAGTTCTTTGGTGAGATTTTGGGCAGATCTGTGGGAGCCAGAGGGCACTTGGGCAGGACCAGGCCAAGGGTGGAAAGCTGGGTTGAGAGGCTGCTCAGAGCATCCCGGATTCACCTGCATAGCCTCCTGGGCTGCCCCAGGGTCTGCCCTGAACGTCTCCAGGGCCCAGAGGGAGCCAGGCCTGGCCTTGTTGGGTGCACACACAAGCACACTGAAGCACAGTTCTTACCCCATCTTTCCTTTCTCCAGCACCCTCAATAGCTCCCCAGTGCCTGCCCCAAATCCTGCAGCCCGGGATATTGACTCACTGTCCAGCCGCCACCATCTGTGCGCATGTCACAGTAGACCTGGAAGCCAGCAGGGTCGTGTGTGGGGAAGACAGAGTAAACACCATCTTCCTGCTGTCCACTCAGGAGGACGTCCAGACAGTCGCGTGGCCGAGAGCCTGAGACAGGGAAGGTAGGTGTCAGGGTGGCTGGGCCAGGCACCTGTGTCCCCCCATGCCCTGTCCCTCGGTCTCTCTGACTTGTCTGTCCACCCAGCAGTGTCAACTCACTGGGTGGATTTGGTGAGTGGGCACCCTCTCTGAGCCTCAACTTCCTCATCTGGAAAATGGGTACAGTGAGCCCCGCAGCAGGAAGTCCTTGGCAAACAGCAGCAGTGTTTCCTTATCCGTGAACAGGTTGGGGGCGATGCAGAGAGGAAGCTGGGCAGCCAGGTCACCCAAGGAAGACTGGCCCCACCCCACTCACCGTTGGCACAGCCCCGGGGCCGTGATCCCCTGGTAGGTGCCCTCTGAAGGTCAGCCTTGACGTGGGGCCGGCCCAGCCCCCGGTCTCTCTGCAGGGCTTCCAAGACGTCGCTGACTGAGTTCACCAGGTGAGCCATATGGCCTTGGCTCTCGGAGAGAAGCTGTGGGGCACAGGGATGGGTGAAGCCCGGGGTGGGTAGAGCACGAGGATGGGTGGAGCCCCAGGCAGGTGGAGCGCCAGGGTTCTTCACCCATACTGCGCCTTCAGCCCAGGTGAGGCGACTAAAGGAAGCCCTGCTGTGCAAGTGGAGGCAGCACCTGGCACCAGGCAAAGCTGAGTTCAGACTCCGACTCACTCCCTGGCTGTGGATGAGGGATCGACCAAACCTTGAAATGGGGCTAACCCCGCGTTTCTGATCCAACTGCTTCAGGAACCGGTGACAACTCGGGGAGTACCCTGCACAGCGTGGGGCCCACAGCAGGCACTCAGTGCTCAGTACCTCGGTGCCTGCCTGACTGCAAGAATTCATGAGACACCTTACAGGTTACAAAACACCTTCACCAGTGTCTCTTCTGATCCCCCAGCAAGGCTGCGAAGGCAGGGGTGATGGACCCGCACCCGACAGGTAGGACCTTGGGGGTACTGCACCCCCACCGACCCCCCATGTGAATATTGCTTTGACTTTCCGGAGAATCTCTGAGGTCCACCCCCGTACCTCGCCCCACGGCACTGCCAGCAGGGAGGGCTTGAGGTGTCATCCCTGGGGCTGACTGGCAGGACAGGAACCCAGGGTTGCGTCATCTTGCAGGGAGCCCAGGGTAGGGGCAGGTCGGGGGCCGAGGTTTGGACCCAGGCTCTGGTGTTGATTCTGGGTTTTGGCTCAGGCCCCTCCTCCATTCACTAGTGAGTGACCGGGAAGGGTAACCGAGTCCCGCCCCGCATCCGTTTCCTCCTCTGTGAACCACAGCAACGGGCCCTGTTTTTCTGGGGGGAGGCTCACTGCAGCATGTGTTCGGGCCTGAGTGCTCAGTCTGCGTTCTCTAATTGTGCCGTGGCCTCTGCTAACGGCCACCCTTCCCGAGATCGCCGTCCAGAGGCTCAGCGCTCAGCCAGTGCATCTCTGTCCCCAGCACCGGGGTCTCTCAGCTCTGCCTGCTGCCGGAAGGGTCTGCGCGGTCTGTCGCCTCCCCACCCGGCGGCTCCAGGAGGCGGCAGGACCACAGGGAGGGGAGGCAGGGTCACGGGCAGCTTGCAGCCAGAGAGCGTGGAGCCTGCTGGGTTTTTACACACGGAATCTGTCACTTGCCAGATAATAGCTCGTTCGAGAAAGGAAAATAGAAATACACAGTGCCGGCAGTTTACAAAATATGATTCTCGGCTTGTCTGGAAGCAGGGGCCCTCCAAAGCTTTTAGTTTCCCTGTCAGTTTCTCCTCTGCTGAGCAGGTGACTCAGTGAGCGCTGAGGCCTGGAGGGGAGAGACGCGAGGGCGGAGAGGGCATTTGGGCAGGACGGCGGGTTTCTCCTTGGGCTTTACTGCCATGTCCTGTGGACACGTCCTGCTGGGGGAGCCCCGGAGAGGATGCAGGCAGCTCCCGGAGGGCAGGGGCCGGGGCCCACTGTGCAGGGTGCGGGTGGCACAGATAATCAGGCTCATCCGTTAAGTCAAATCGGTACTGCCTATCCTTCTGTGACGATGCAGACACAGTCGAGAAACTCAGGCACGGCCGGCTCTTGCTCACAGGCAAGGGAGACCTCAGTTTAAACCAGCAAATGATTAAAGTTGAAAATGTACATATAAACATGCCCTGAATTAATGGGGAAAGTCGGTTCCTGCTCACTGAGCTGCACAGATGCGTTAAAGAGGACTTGGCAGCTTTTAGAGGCGGGGAAATCGGAGTCGCTGCTTCCAGCCCTTCTCAGTTGTGTGACTGAGCTTAAACAAGGCACTTCGCCACGCTGAGCCTCAGGCCGCCCCTCCAGAGAATGGGCCAATGATCCCCACCTCCGGGGGCTATTGTGTTACAAAGTCCACACGGTGAACCCAGAAAGGGATTTTCAACACTGGCTCCCCCTGGGCTGAAACTGTCATAATAAAAGAGACGCTGATGTACAGACAGCATCTCTCACCTGCCGCCCACCAGCCAGGAGCTGTGGGCTGTGAGCGCCGGCATCCTGCAGGTGTGGACTGCGTCATCCCTGCGTTACGGGCGAGGAGGCCCAGCCTGCGGAGGGCACCTGACACGCCCAAGGTCCCGCGGCTGGTCCTTGATGGAGCCTGGGCTGGACCCCAGCTCTGCTGACTCTAACCCTGAGGGCAGAACCGCTCTGCTCTGCCACTCCCAGGCCAGCAGGCCAGGGCTGTTCCTGCCCATAAGTCACCCAGGTGCTTGTTGACCTGTGGGACCCAGGGGGCTGGGAATGAGGCCCAGGGATGTGCCTTTTAACAAGCAGCTCTGGCAACTCTGGACGTGGCTTTGACAAAGCCAGGTCTGGGCTGATCAGTGGGGGCTCTGGGAAGCTTGGTGTAGAGGAGCTCAGCCCTGCAAGACACATGGTCTCTGAAATCACCTTGATTCTGTGGGAAATGAGTCAAACATTCTCGTGAGAAGTAAATATATCAGGTGGGCCCAGGCACTCCTGGGCCCCAGAAGAGCTGTGAGTCTTACAGGAAGAGCCCTAGGCCTCTGTACAGGTGGGTGGGGGAGACCCCGGGGCCATTCCTCCTGGCTCCCCACCCTTGCCCTAAGGGTGAGGATTTGTGGGTGGGCCTGGCTGACTGAGGCTGAGGCATGTGGAGAGTGAGGTAGGGCACTCAGATCACCCAGAAAGTGTGGAGGCCTCCCCAGGTCCTGCTGATGAGGGGCGGGCATGCTACAGATGGAGGGCAGCGGGAGGGCGGCTGAACACCCCCTCCCGGGACGGGGAAGCCGCCTTCCAGTCAGTCACCCAGACAGGATGATGAGGACTGTAATTCCTCCAGCTGCAGCCTTCAGAGGGAAGGAAAAGGCCCATTGCTCATGAGCTGTTGAGTGACCAAATGCCTGGTCATCTTGGGTGTCCGGAAGGGGCTGGGACCAATGGCAGGGGTGGGGCTCGCCTCCCATTCCCTAAGGACCTGAGTCACGGGGGACGGGGAACAGGGCTAGAGGCTGGGCAGTACTCCAGAGGCCAGATGCCAGGCCTGAGCTGGCCACTGTACCCTGGACAAATCACTGCCCCTTTCTGGGCCTCAGTTTTCTCTTCTGGAAAATGACCGAGGGCCAATGAGATGACTCTGAATCTCTGATCCTTTGAGGGGGCAAGGTCCTGCTGGTGCTCAGGTGTGGGCAATGTTGGAAACCCTTCACCCAGATCTGCCTGGTGCACACTGGGACCTGGCTCTGGGTGGAGGTGGGGGCAGGGCTGCAGCGGAGGTGGTGGGAAGGCCAAGGGTCTGGTTGGGCTCCTCAACTGGTCCCTCCTTCCCTGGAAAGCTGTGGGCATCGAATGGCAGTGAACGGGGGCATGTGGAGAGGGAGTGCAGTTCTCTCTGGCCTCATGGCACAGCCTCGGGGAGGGCTTGTCACTGACCAGCCACGTGACCTTGAATCTCAATTAGCCTGATGGAGGCCATGCCCTTCCTCACCTGGGTCTCACCTACACTGAAGTACTTGGGAAGCCCCTCCAGCCCTGGATTTGACCCGACTGCTGGATACTATGGGTGCTCCTCCAATACCCAGGTCACCAGGATGGCGTGCAGGAGAGTTTGAATCCTAGCGCCACCAACTGTGTGGCCTTGGATGAGGCACTCATCTCTCTGGGCCTCATTTGCTCATCTGTAGGTGGAAATCACAACAGCCCCTGGCCCCAGGGCACTCGGGGATTGAGTGAGGCCCTGGGCATCAGGTGCCCAGCACAGGGCCAGCACAGGGTGGCAGAACCCCCCTCCCTGCCCCACCCCCCCGCCGCAAGACCCAAGGTGCAGACCCTGCTCCTACCTGGATGAGGCGGCCCTGCTCGCTCTGCAGGGCGCTGAGCCCCTGGCCCAGCAGGCTGTGCCCCTTCCGCAGCCCCACGCACTCCGCCTGCAGCTCCGAGGCCCGGGCCAGCAGCCGGGGGAGCTGGTCAGCCAGGGTGTCCAGCAGCTCCTGCTCCTGTTCGCCCGCCAGCCGCGGCTCGGCCTGGCGCTGGGTCAGCGCCTGCAGCACGGAGGCCTGGGCGCCCTCCAGGCGGGCGAAGCCATCGGCGAGGTCGGGGCAGCGGGGGTCGATGAGAATGCTGAGGCGCGAGCTGTCGGCCCTGTCCACGGTGACCAGGGCGCTGTTGGCACCGGCCGACCCGGTGCTGACTACGGGCGGGGGG